AAGTTGCTCTTGTTTTTTCTCCTCTCTGGACCCCCAGATGCCTCCCGAGAGAGAAAGTGGGCGCACCATCCATCCCCCTCTGCTAGCTGGGGGCAGGAGGGAGCCCAGCCTGCCTGCGGTAGTACGGGGGGGGGGGGGCAGCAGCGTGACACTGGGAGAGCCGCTCAGTGCCCCCTCGCCACTCTCCCCTCACACCCGCCCCAGCTTAGAGATCTGAAGGTTGTGCTTGAGAGCACAGAAGCGGTGCAGGCCCGGCCCTGCGAAGACCTGGTTCACGGGACGGGGGCAGAGGGCTTCCTCCACGTGGTGTCCCCACAGAGGCACCAGGGCGCAGGGCAGGAAGGATGCTGAGGCCCTAACCAAGCCTCTGCCCACTCGGGGCAGCTTCCTGGTGCCGCCCTGCAGGTGGAGTGGGGGGGGGGGCTGTCTGCTCTCTCCTCCCCGGAGAATAGGGCTGATGGGGTTGGGCCTGGACTCCCTGAGAGGCAAAGGTTGGCCGTCCCGGGAGGCTGCAGGGCAGGGTAGGCAGCTCTGGAAGTTTCTGCGATCCCCCCAGAAAGCCGGGTCGGTGCTGGAAGGATTTGCCCAGGTGCTAGGACCTCCGGCTCTGACCCCTGACCTTTGACTTCTGGCCTGGAGGTGGGGCCCAGGGGACGCAGTGGCGGCCCTGGGAGTTAACGATTTACAAGAGGCCCCTTCCTGAGGCCTCCCTCCTCCCAGGCCCGGGGGCAACCGGTGACTGCCCAGGCGGCGGGGCGAGACACAGAACCAGTCCCACCAGTTCAAAGAGCAGTTCCCGCCCCGCCTGAGCCTGAGCACCCCACTCTCAGCAGGGCACACGGAGGAGGGGGTGGTGGACCGGCCCCCTGGTCTGGGGAGAGGCTGGGCAGGCTTTAGAAGGGGCTGGGGCCAGATTTCTGAGCAGAGGCTGACCCCTCACTTCCAGCCTGCCCACACCCCACACACAGCCTGCAGGCCCCGTGGGCCCCTGCCCAGGTGCCCTCCCCTCCCCCAGCAGTGCTCACCCCTCCCTCTTCCTGAGCCCAGGGGCCAAGGAGCCACAGCTTTGGCCTCCCGCCGCGTCCCCCCAGTGGGACACACATATGTGTGCCTGGAGAAGCCAAGGGCTATGCCGCCCCCACGCCGCCCCCGTACCCGCTGGATTCCTTGTCGCTGGGCCCGGGTGAGCGGCATGTGGAGGGAGAGAGTTGGCCTGGATTCTGCTCTCTCCCAGCCCTTTTGTTCTGGGCCTGGAGGCCCCCTTCTGCCCCTTCCTCTCCCCCTGTTTACGCAGGTCAAGGCCGGCCAGGGAGCAGCAAACTGGCTTCTCCTGCGCCTTCTCCCTTTGCTCCCCCCCGCCCGCCGTGGCCCCGAGTGGGCGAGGCAGAGACCCAAGGTCCAGTGTTGAGTGTGTGAGGCCCGACACCCCACACACCTCCGCCCACGCTGCTACCCCTCTGCCTGCCAGCGGGTTGTGGCCGAGGTCGCGGTGCAGGGCAACCCCACTGAAGACCACGCTGCTCCTGCCCCTTGCTCGCGTCCTTTGTGACACAGCTGAAGGGACTGGGCCCCAAGAGGGGTGGGCCAGGCGGGCCCAGGCCAGGCGGACTGCTGAAGACCCCGACGCCTGCACTCCCAGCCATGCGGCCGATTCCAGGCACTGGGTGTTTAATCAACGACAGACATTAGCTGATAAACAGTGGTGGGCACTGCCTTGGACAACGCCTGCTTTTGCCGTTTTGTAATCTCCAGCAGGCGCTGTAGCCGAGGATTAGGTAAGCACACGCACAGCCAGCGCCCAGGAGGCATGGCGCGGGCACACAGCAAGTGCTCAGAGCTGTTGGCTACAGTCCTCGTTCCTGCGCCCCCTTAGAGCCAAGCTTCAGGCCTGAGGCATGCGGGGTGGGGGTGGGGGTGGGGCCCTCCCTCACCCTCGAATCATCTTTATGGGTGGTGTAGTGGGGGGGGGAGGGGGAAGGGGAGACAGGTGAGCACATGAAAGCTATTTCTGTGCAGTGTGGTCACTGTGGCCACAGGAGGGGACAGATGAGGGGCCCCCAGCAGGCCACAGTGTGTGCACCCAGCAAAGGGAGCTCAGGAGGCAGTGGGCGGGCCTGCCGCGCGTGTGCCTATACTTGGATATGCCCCAGTGGGTTACCTTGTTCTGATCTGCACAAAGGCTACGTGTGGCCCCAGCTCGGGCTGGGAGTGGCAGTCCCAGAAGGTCCCCATGTTCTAGGGCTTCAGTGAGTTCACAGGCAAGCCAGATGGAGGCCCGTGAAAGGTCAGCAGTGGGCGGTGTCCGCAAGGCCGCAGCTGCGGGAAGGCGGAGCGCAGGGCAGTGAGCCTCAGGCCGTACCTGTGTGTGAGACTCCACACCTGGACAGCAAACCTCCTTGTACTTGGAGAACAATCTGGGTGCCGATCTCACTTCACTGTCCTCATCCGAAAGATGGAGAGGAGAGTGCTCCTGGGGCTGATGGAAAGATTAAATGAGGGGCCTGCACTGTGGCGTAGCGGGTTAAGCCACCAGCATCCCATATGGGCCCCGCTTTGTGTCCCGGCTGCTCCGCTTCTGATCCAGCTCTCTGCTGTGGCTGAGAAAGCAGCAGAGGATGGCCCAAGTGCTTGGGCCCCTGCACCCACGTGGGAGACCGAGTAAAGCTCCCTGATCCTGCCTTCATCCAGGTTGTTGTGGCCATTTGGAGAGTGAACCAGAAGTGGGAGATCTCTCTTCTCTTTCTCCTGTTCTTCTTATTTTTTTTTAAAAGATTTATTTATTTGAAAGTCAGAGTTACAGAGAGGCAGAGAGAGAGAGAGAGAGAGAGAGAGAGAGAGAGAGAGATCTATACACTGGCTCCCCAGATGGCCACAAATCGGAGCTGCGGCTATCCAAAGCCAGGAGCCGGGGGTTTCTTCTGGGTCTCCCACTCAGGTGCAGGGGCCCAAGCACTTGGGCCACCTTCCACTGCTTTCCCAGGCCATAGCAGAGAGCTGGATCAGAAGTGGAGTAGCCGGGATAAGAACCCGCACCCATATGGCATGCTGGCACTGCAGGTGTCAGCTTTACCTGATACACCACAGTGCCAACCCCTCTCCCCTTCTCTTGGGACTCTGCCTTTCAAATAAGTAAGATGAAGTGAGATAGTACACTGTGACTGTGGCGCGTACTGCCCTGCTTGGGGTAAGAGCTGCCTGGATGGCTGGCTGGCAGGGAGACTCCGCAGGATTCAGGGAGTGCGATCTGCGGCCTGGACTGCCTCGCCCCTCCCTGGAAGGCAGGGCAGGGGATGCTGCGCTCCTCCATCCCCAACAGGTGTTGGTGACTTAAGGAACTCACTTGCTGACTGATTGGTCGAAAGAACTCAGAAGGAGGTTCTCCAACAAAACAACACTTAAATATTCCTTTCTGGGGGCGGGCGCTTTGGTTAAGCTTCCACCTGCAGCACCGACATCCTACATGGGCTCTGGTTCAAGTCCTGGCTGCCACACTTCCTATCCAGCTCTCTGCTATGGCCTGGGAAAGCAGTGGAGGATGGCCCAAGTGTTTGGGCCCCTGCACCCGCGTGGGAGACCTGAAAGAAACTCCTAGCTCCGGATCGGCTCAGCTTCAGCCATTGCGGCCATCTGGAGAGTGAACCAGCAGATGGAAGACCTTCAGTATCTCTCCCTCTCTCTGTAACTTTGCCTCTCCAATAAATAAATCTTTAAAAAAAAAAAATCCTTTTTGGCGGTTGAGAGAAGGGCGTGGTGGTGACCATGGTTACCGCCGAGGGTGGTGCCCCCCCGCCCCGCCCCATCCTTCCTGCTCATCCCTCACTCACTGTCACACTTCATCTGAGATGGAGAGTCCTCTGTGGGTGGCTGCATGTGACACTGCCCGTCTTTGTGGACAGCTCTGCCCCTGTTCTCTCTGGTTCCCGTCTGCGTGGGAAAGGTGAGGGCCTGGGTCTCTGCGGAGTTCTTAGCTGCAAGGAGAAGGGGAAGACAGTCAGACCCCCCCCAGTGCGCTGGGCTGGGCGCACATCAGCACCACCCTCTGCAGACCCCTCCCTGTGCGCTGGGCTGGGCGCACATCAGCACCACCCTCTGCAGACCCCCCCCCCCGTGCGCTGGGCTGGGCGCACATCAGCACCACCCTCTGCAGACCCCCCCCCAGTGCGCTGGGCTGGGCGCACATCAGCACCACCCTCTGCAGACCCCCCCCCCCATGCGCTGGGCTGGGCGCACATCAGCACCACCCTCTGCAGACCCCCCCCCGCAGTGCGCTGGGCTGGGCGCACATCAGCACCACCCTCTGCAGACCCCCCCCCATGCGCTGGGCTGGGCGCACATCAGCACCACCCTCTGCAGACCCCCCCCCATGCGCTGGGCTGGGCGCACATCAGCACCACCCTCTGCAGACTCCCCCCCTAGTGCGCTGGGCTGGGCGCACATCAGCACCACCCTCTGCAGACCCCCCCCCAGTGCGCTGGGCTGGGCGCACATCAGCACCACCCTCTGCAGACCACCCCCCCCCCCCGCCCCGTGCACTGGGCTGGGCGCACATCAGCACCACCCTCTGCATGGGGAAGCCATTACCACTCTGGCTCAGCCCTCCACCACTTCCCGGCTGCAGCCCCTCGCCCTCCTGCGGTGGCAGTAGGGTGAGTCAGTGTTAGCAGGAGAGGCAGGTGGAGGTGGGCTGGGGCAACTGCACCTGGGATCCTGCCTCCCCCATCTGTGCCCTGACGTGTGGGGCTGAGGCTATGAGGGATGACCATTTGGGGGTGCTCACTGTCTCAAAACCATGTTTCCACCGCAAACATCTGCTTTCACTCACCCGGCAAGTCCATCTGAAATGGCTTGGAAGGAGGTGAAATGGGCCGATTCTGTGGCGCAGTGGGTTAAACTGCCACCTACAGTGCCAGCATGCATATGAGCGCCAGTTCGAGTCCTGGCTGCCCCACTTCCCGTCCAGCTCCCTGCTGATGCTCCTGGGAAAGCAGAAAAAGATGGTCCAAGTGGTTAGGTCCTACCATCCACTTGGGAGACCCAGATGAAGTCCAGACTCTTGGCTTCGGCCTAGTCCAGCACCAGCCGTTGCAGCCATTTGGGGAATAAACCAACAGATAGAAGATCTCTCTCTCTCTTTGTAACGCTGCCTGCCTTTTTTTTTTTTTTTTTTTTTTTGACAGGCAGAGTGGACAGTGAGAGAGACAGAGACAGAGAGAAAGGTCTTCCTTTTGCCGTTGGTTCACCCTCCAGTGGCCGCCGCGGCTGGCACATTGCGGCCGGCACACTGTGCTGATCCGATGACAGGAGCCAGGTGCTTCTCCTGGTCTCCCATGGGGTGCAGGGCCCAAGGACTTGGGCCACCCTCCACTGCACTCCCTGGCCACAGCAGAGAGCTGGCCTGGAAGAGGGGCAACCGGGATAGAATCTGGTGCCCCGACCAGGACTAGAACCTGGTGTGCCGGCGCCGCAAGGCGGAGGATTAGCCTAGTGAGCTGCGGCGCCGGCCATGCTGCCTTTCAAATAAAAAAAGTGAAAAGAGTTATGGGGGGGGGTCTTTTATCTGCTGGTTCATTCCCCAAATGGCCACACCAGTCAGGGCCATGCCAGGCCAAAGCCAGGATCCAAGAACTTCAACTGGGTCTCCCACGTGGGTGCAGGGGTCCAAGCGCTTGAGCCATCTTCCACTGCTTTCCCAGGAACATTAGCAAGGAACCAGATTGGAAGTGGAGCAGCCAGGATTTGAACTGGTGTCCATATGGGATGCCGGCATTGCAGGTGGTGGCTTAACCCATTACACCACAAGGCTGGCCCCTGTAACTCTGACTTTCAAATAAATAAATCTAAAGAAAGAAAAAGGCGAAACACCTGCCCAAGGAGCCATTCCTTGACCCAGCTGGTCAGGGAGGACACTTCTAGCATCAGTGCAAAGAAGGAACTGGCTGGAGGGGGTGCCCAAATTATCTGGGAGGGGCTACTCCTGTGGCCTGGGATGCCAGGAATGAGAGAGGCAACAGTTTTCAGATGGGTTCTGCCCTTTGACACTCCATAACCCCCTGCCTCCGGGCTGAGTCAAGACCCCCAGGAGGGTGGGCACGGCCACTTCCCTGGAACCCCAGGCCCGACAGCCATGCCTGGGAGACAGCCAGGCCGCCGCACACACGGACGATGGGAGGAAGCAGCGAGGTGGGAGACGGTTTCGCTTCTCCCACTGAGCAGCCTGTGGTGCAGTTAACTCCCTGCTCTCTGAACTCCAGCTGGTCTCAGAAGGTAAGGCTGAACCCTGGGCTCCTCCCCCTCCCCAGGGGTCTAGGGGCAGCACCTCTGCACAAACCCCGGGTGCAGGGATTTCGGAGAATGGGAGAAGACTTGCACTTTGGGATGACATGAGCCTGGGGGCTCGCTCTGTGGCTGCTTGCGAGGAAGCCCTCTGAGGCAGTGGGCAGCCCAGGTTGGGCAGATGGAGGGGCCTGCTGGGTCCACACCTCTAGCCAGTGTCTGTTGGGCACCGCTCTGTCCCAGGGACTGTTGCAAGCTCTCGACTTGGGTCAGTCTCAGGGCCCCACAGTGCAGTCCCCTTAGCCTCAGGACCCCGGGCCTGAGTAGGAAACAGGATCAGTTTCCTCATCTGTGAAATGGGGACAGGAATCTCTGCTCCCTTGTTGCCCAAGCCCGGGGTCTTTGAGCTCCCCAGCCCTGAGGTGCGAGGCCGGATGAGCGCTCTCCCTCCCGAGGCTTGTCGCTTCTCACTCCTCTGAACGCAGGGGGCAAAGGGACGGTGCTTTTTTTTTTTTTTTAGGAAGTTGCAGGGTGGGGGTAGGTGAAGTAGGGCTCACGGGGCGCTGCGCCTGGGTCGGCGACGTCAGGGAGCGGGGAGCTAGAGACGCAGCGACTGCGGCTCCGGCCTCAATGCCTGGCGGCATCCAAGTGACCAGAGCAGCGCTGGGAGGGAGGCGGCGGGAGGAGGGAGGGGAGCCGAGGTGGAAGGGGGGGAGGAGGAGGAGGCAGCGGCGAGTCCGGTCCGGGTTTTGCCGGCAGCCCCCGGGCAGCGTTCAGAGCTCCTGCCCGGGCGGGCGCGCGGCGGCGGCGGCGGCGGCGGCGGCAGAGGCGGCGGAGCCTGAGCGGGGATGTAGAGGCGGCGGCACTGGCGGCGGCGGCGGCGAGAGCAGGCTCCCCAGCCGAGCGAGAAGAGCGGCCGAGCCTCGCCCCCGAAGCCGGCCCCGCGTCCCAGCCCCTGCCCAGCCCGCGCCCAGCCATGCGCGCCGCCTGCTGAGTCCGGGCGCCGCACGCTGAGCCCTCCGCCCGCCGCGCCGCGCTCCGCTCGGGGGTGATTAGTTGCTTTTTGTTGTTTTTTAATTTGGGCCGCGGGGAGGGGGAGGAGGGGCAGGTGCTGCAGGCTCCCCCCCCTCCCCGCCTCGGGCCAGCCGCGGCGGCGCGAGTCCGGCTCCGGACCCGGGCACGGCGGGCGGCTGAGCGGAGCGCACCGCGGCGGCGGTGCCCAGAGCGGAGCGCAGCTCCCCGCCCCGCCCCTCCCCCTCGGCCTCGCGGCGACGGCGGCGGTGGCGGCTTGGACGACTCGGAGAGCCGGTAGGTGTCGGGCCACAGCCCTCCCCCGACCCCCCCGAAGGCCGGCCCCCTCCCCTTCCCCGCCTCCCTCCCTCTCCTCCCCCGGGGCTCGGTGCGCGGTCGGGGCCGGAGTTCGCTGCAAGTCGGCGGAAAGTTTGGCGGCGCGGCTTCCCCCGAAGTTCAGGTGCGGAGAGCCGGGGACGGGGAAGGAGGGGTCCGCGTTTGGGAGGGGCGTGGGGCGCCCGCAGCTGGAGCCGCGGAGCCCCCGGAGCCCGGGAGACCTAGCGCCGGTGATCGCTCGGTGGCCGCTGCTATACCCAAGCCTCCCCGAGCCGCAGTGTGGTCGGTCGCAGATCACTGAGTTCAGACAAAAAGAGGGGTTTTAGGGTCGCGGACGGCGCGCTGGGCGCAGTGGAGTGGGGCCGGGGCCCTCCCAGCGGGGTCCCGCCCCCTCCCCAATGACTCGAGCTGGCCGGCGCAGGGGTGGCGGGCGCCGGGGGTCTCACCTCTCGGCGTTGGGCGGGCGCTCCGCCTGCGGGGGCGGCTGGTTGGCGATCTCGGGTGCGCACTGCCCGCCTGGGACCCCATTCGCAGCCCAGGGTTTGGGGGGGCCACGGCAACTGCTCTGCGCGCCCTACACCACGCGTCGCCGAGCCTCCCCCTCCACTTGGAAGAGGCGGCGGCCACTTCTGCATTTCCCCTCCGGCTGCTCGCCCCCGCTGCCCGCGGGGTGCCTGGCGGGCTGATCAAGTTTGACCTTTTTTTTTTTTCCGTCAAAGTAGCACCCCCGCCGTCCCGGTGCCCTGCAGCCGCTCCCGCCCTCCCCAGCCCCGGAGGCGGCGCTCGGCCGTGTCCGAGCCCCGCGTGCGCCAGGCTGCGGGCCCCGGCCGGGGAGGCTGGGCGGGGGTGTCGCTCCAGCTGCGGAGCTGGGGTGGGGGGGCGGGCGTCTCCGGAGCCCCACGCTCGCCCTGAAGTTCGGCCCGAACCCCCGCCTCTCCGCTTCCCCGGAGCGAGGGGCTGGACGGCAGCGAGAGGAATGTGTTAATTTTCTGACCGGGGGAAGTTGTCCTCGCCCGGAATGGGCCGTTTTCCGGCGGGGAACGCGGGGTGCGCCTGGCTTTGTTTATTTATAGGGTCGACGAAAAGTGAGAGACCCCGGGTTTTAAATGGGGGCCAACTCCGGGACCTGTCAGAAGAGCTGAAACGCCCAATGAGGGAGCCTAATCTTTTTTTTTTTTTTCGCCTCCCGGGAATCGGAAGGGGGACAAGGAGGCACCCGGGAATCGGGGGTTCTTAGTGATTCGTCGGGAAAGACCTGCGCCCGGGGTTTGCAGGTTTTGGTGGCCGCGCCCTGTTTTGGTCCCTGGACCCTGGGTGGTCCGAGTCGCGTCTGCGGAGAGGGGCGCCGGCGGGCCAGCCTCCGGGTCCCCTCCTTGGCCTGCGCCGAGGGCGCTGCCTGGAGCCCTGGGTCTGCGGCGGGCCCAGCGCCGCCCCCGCCCCCCCCGCCCCGCGTTCGCGCAGGAAGCGCTGGGGAGGGGGCGTGTGTGATCGCTCGGCCCTCGCCCCCGCCGGAGCCGCCCCAGGGCCGCCGGCAAACAGAGTCCCTTTCAAGTTTTCCGCTGGGGCCGCCTGGCGGGGGCTGCGAGCGCGGTCGCTGCGGACTTGTTTGGAGCGCGATTTGAACGCCCGGCGCCACCTCAGCTGCCCCAGCCCCGCGGGGGTGGGGGCGCCCGTTCGTGCCATTGGGAGCATTTAAATTAAGACGTTTGGGGGAGGGGGGCTACTGGCTTTAAGCTTGACCTGATCCCTCGCCCGAAAGACGCCGGTACCCTGGGCTCCCACCGCCCCTGAAACCCAGGAAATGGGACGCCCAGCCCCATGCAATCCCCTTTTTGAGAGCGTGCGGGCAGGCTCAGGCCAGCGCTACCTACCCGTGACTGCGGAGTGTTGATTTAGCAGTTTCCCTAGATGAGAGTGGAGCTGGAGCTGGGAGGGGGGGTGGCCCGCTCTGCAGCTGTCACCCCCCTCCCAGAACGGAAATTGTCATCTCTCCTTGGGGAGGAGAGGGGGTGAGGGTTTGAATTTTGCTCTGGGAAGAGGTTGGAAGAGCACGGAGGAGGCTGGCCTCTGAGTGCCCTGTCTGCCTGGGAGCTTGCTGGGAGCCCCCACCCTGGCGGAGAGGCCCCTCTGCCTGTGCTCCCGGCGGTGGGGGGGGGGGGGGGCTCGAGGTTCCTCTGCAGAGGACAGACCCTTGGCTGCCTAGCTGTCTCTCAGTGCCTTATTTATGTGTGTGTTTGGGCCGGGCTGTTCCCCCACACACACCCTGCTCAGCAGGTGACCCTGGCCTGGGCCTCCTATCTCTCCGGGCGACAGAGCCTGTTGACTTACCCGAGGCCAGCGGCCTCGTCTTTATCACGTGAGGCCTGGAATGTCCACTTGGCTGGGCCGGGCTGGGCTGGGCTGGGCCGGGCTGGGCTGGGTGGGGGAAGGGGCGGGGAGGATTCTCCATCCAGGGCTGGATCCGGAGAGGCCTATGTTGCAAGGTTCCCGCTGAGACCCTCCACTCTGGCTGCCTTTTTTCCAGCCTTGACTTGCCTCGTACCCATTTGGCAAGTGTGAAACTGAGGTCCCCAGGAGTGCAGGGGTGAGATTGCTCCTCGCTAAAAACCTAAGGCTTTGGGAATTCAGGACCCCACCTTGGCTAGGACCCCACCTAGCTATGTACGGGAGGGTGGAATAGAGATGGGCTGAAGTCAGCTGACTTTGGGCCTGGGCAGATGGCGGAGAGCAGGTGAGCCCGATCCAGGGCTGTTCTCCTGGGGCTCCCTGTCTGGCCTGGCGATTCCCCAGGCAAGGCGCTGTGGAACCTGCCCTAACCGGTCACCTATCACCGATGGGGCGGCAGCTCACTCACGGTCAAAACTGCCCACTCTTCCCCTGTCTCATTCCTTGGCCTGATGCCGTTGTATGGAGCACCTACTATGGCCCCCTCCTCCAGAGGCAGGCCCAGGATGGAGGCTCCGCCCCCTTCCCCACCCCCTGGGGCTCTCCCTCTGTTACCCCTACCACCTGGTTCTGTCTTAGCCCTGTGTGTGGTTGTGTGTTGTGTGTGTGAAGTGTCCTTGATGAAGTGTATTAATAGTTAAACTCTCACTCATAGCTGGAGCTCACCAGACCACAAAAAGCCTGCCCCGTTACTCACGCGCTACTGCCCAACAAGAATATCCCACTAAAGTTTTTTTCTGCTTTCTCTTACTTCCCCCTCGCCCTGTCTGCCTCCCCCCAGTGCTGAGGCCACCCTCCCGGGCTGCGGGCAGTGAGAAAGGACTGCCCCTCCAAGACCCAGGAATCCCCCACCTTCCACCTGCTCCTGTGGAGGCGGTGCCGGCAGGCAGCGGTGTGCTGTGCGGAGCCTGGCCCCCGGGTCTGGGATGTGGGGCTGGGAGCGTGTGGTCTCTGTCGTGAGTTCATGGGTTGAGGGTGTGTGGCTTTGTGAGTCGGGCGTATGTGTCGGGATGTTGGCGTGCGTGTGCGTGAATCCGAGGCTGTGTATCTGAAAGTTGGATGTGGCCCTTGGGCCCCGGCAGTCTCTGTGTGCTCTGTGTTGTGTGTGCTTGGGATTTGGGAGAGTTGGTGTTGGTGATGTGGGTGTATCTGTGTGCTTTGTGTAGGCTTCTGAGTCTGGGAACGGCTCGCTCCTGGACGGTGTGGATCTGAACTGTGAAAACGTGCATCTGGGCTGGCTGGCCAGCGGTGTGCGTCCAGCGTCAGGGGCTGGTGCTGTCTGCTCCTGTCTGCGAGCCTGCCTCCCTGCTGCGTGTGCGCGCGTGTGCGAGTGTGAGCGTGTTTATGGGAGCATGTGTGTGCATGTTCGTGTGAGTGTGAGCATATGTCAGTGTCTGCATGTGAGTGTGTATCCGTGTGTGAGCATGTGTGAGTGTGTATGTGTGTGGGTACATGTGTGTGTGAATGTGAGCGTGTGTGTGTGTGTGCAGTGTAGTCTTGGAGCCCATCCTCCCACCCCACCGCAGCAGTCACTGGGCAGCCTCTGCGTCTGTGCCTGCTGGGAGTTTTGGAAGCCTCGGAGGGAGACAGGCTGGGGCCGGGGTGACAGCGCGTATCCACGGTGATGGCAGCCTGTGATTACGGGAATAAAAGGATTTTAAGGTCATGGGTTTTTTTTTTCCTTGGGTTTGTGTTCCCCCCTCTTTGGAGCCAGTGGCAGTGAAGGGCCGGTGCTGTGTGTCTGTGGGTGGGGAGGTCCGCCCATGCAGGTGAACATGGATGTGAGTGGGAACACATGTGTGAGCATGCTTAGCGGAGCCCGCGAGAGGGCACGGGTCTGGTTGCCTGCTCCCCGGGTGCGAGTCTGGACGGCTGCTCCCCAGGCGAATTCCCAGGAAAACTTCTTGCTTCTGGGCATCACGTGGGGCTGGAATCCTGCGGTCCTCTCTGTGCTGAGCAGAGCGATGTGGCCCCAACCCGTAGCTGCGCATCCTCCCATGTTGGGTGTCTCTGGCCGGAGACCGACTGGGCCCAGTCACCTGGGCCAGGCCACATCTTGGGGTATCGGTGGCCCTGGCCCCGCTCCAGCCCCTGTAATTGCATTCTGCCGCCTAATCCCCCGCCAGCTCAATTAGATCGCAAATTCTTCTTCATTTCCTGCCTCTGATGCTGGCCTCCCTCTGGGCTCACAGGGCCTGGGAGGGAGGGGGGGACCTGAGGGGCCTGGGGGTGGTTAGTGCTTGGCACACTGGGTCTTTCTGGGCCAGCCGCGGTATCCCCATGCTGGGGGCGGTGGCTGGTGGTAGCCTAGAACGGGATTTCCAGGTAGACCTGGTGGATGACTGCAGCCGGGTCTGGACCGCGCCGTCACCTGGGCCCCGAAGGCTCTGCCTCCTGCCACCTGCAGCGCGGCAGTGGTGACGGAGCCCCTGGCCCGCTGTGGGGTCCTGTTGACCGTCCTCCTCGGCCGCTTCCCCCAGGACCGATGCCCCTGAGCAGTGGTGCCTGGCCCTGTGAGGCCTGGCTAGCCGGGTGAGTGACAGACGGGCAAGTTGTGCTGTCTCTACACACCTCAATTTCCTTCGCTCTGAAATGGGACCGTTTTCAGGTGAACACAGGGGATGGTTGTGCAGTGCCCAGCCTGGATGACTGGCCCAGTTGGCGTTTAATACAAGTGGGCTTCGTGACAGACTTTATATTCCGCGGGGACTGGGACACGTGACTGTCCATTAGCTTTCCTGTCTCCATTCTACTCTTACCAGATGTGTGACCTTGGACGCATCTCTTGATGTCCCGTCTGTGAAGAGGGACCGACGCCTGCTGACCTCACGGGGCGCTGGTGCGTTCGGATGCTTGGCCCCAGCAGGTCTTCAACATGTTGAAGGGTGGGGTGGGATTGGCTCAGGGACCGGGGACTGGCCAAGGTCAGGAGGCTGCGAGCGGGCCGACTGGGGTGGGAGGGCGAGGGGATGACCTGCTGGCTCAGCTGAGCTGAGCGGTGAGGCACACAGCCTTCCTCCCGCCGCTCTCGGCAAAGTGGTGGCTTGGCTGATTTTCTCTCTGGGCGGGGGGAGCTGGGAGTCTCCCCCTCCTCCCCCTCGTGCCCCGGGAGGCGCTGGTGGCCGGGGCCGGCCGTGCTGACAGGCCTCCTGGCTCTCTTGCTAGGGTAGCTGGCAGCTCGGGGAGGCCGGCTGCGCCCAGATCAGCCCCAGGGAGGGAGCGACCGCGAAGGTCTCCCTGCCCTCCTGTGCACAGAGGGGGGGGGGAGGGGGGCTGTGATGGAGGTGGGGGCCTCCCTCCCCTCAGGGTCCCCTGTCGCTGCTGCCTTCTGTGACCTGTGCCACTCACTGGCCTGGGCTCTTTAATATTTCATGGCCCTCCAAGCCGGCCCCCTGCCCCAGCCCACACGGCCCCCTTTGTCTGCCTGCCACCCCCCCGCCCCCCGCATCCCTGTCACTGAATTACTGACCCAGAGGCTGCCTCTGCCTCCCCCCTGCCGCCCCCCCCCCCGCTGTGCCTGCCCCTGGCGCTGGCGCTGGCCTGTCCCTCGGCCCTCCTGACCGGCCGCCCCCACCCCCACTCGCGACACCTTCTGTCTCCGCAGGGTCCTCTCCCCTCCTGACATCCCTGCCCTTGTCTTCCATATCCCTCCCTGCCCTCCCGCCCCCAGGACCCACCCCTCCCTGCCCGTCCCGCAGCTGTGCCGGCCGGCCAGCGTGAGAGCTGCTTGTATTTATTTTTCTGTTTGTTTGGGAAGAGGGCAGCTCTGGGCCCTGGCTGCTGTGCTCTGCTGAGAGCGGCGGCGGGCAGGCTGCCGCGCTGGCCTCCCAGGAATGCGGCCGGGACGCCCCGCGCTATATTTACTCCCTTCCAGCTGCCGGCCCCAGCAGGGCAGAGCCAGGCCTGCCCGGTGGCCCCGGGGGAGCCCTGGACCCACCCTCCCCTGTCTGGCAGACCCCACATGGCCCTTGGACCCACTGCTCCCTCCCTTGCCCGTGACCCGCCCCCCCCACCTCAAACCAGCCGGGCCTCCCACAGGAGTGCTTGGGTACCACGCCAGTGAGGGCAGCACGTGTGGGTGCGGGGGGCCTGGGCCATGTGGGGCAGCCCCCGTCGGACCCTGCACCCCCACCCCGGGGCCTAGCCCAGGCCCGTAATCCCATGGCCACAACTATGCAAAGCATGTTTCTGCCCTCTCCCCTCGGGCCTGGCCCCTGCTCTTGCCACAGCCCCCTGGGCTCTGCTGTGGCCCCTGGCAAGGGCAGGGCGGGGTGGGGGCCCGAGCCGGCTTGAGCTGCGGGGCTCCCTGCGTCGCCAGCCCTGCCAGGCCCCTCAGCCAGCCTCGAGTACTTGGGCGTGCACTCGCACACCTGCATGTGTGCAGCAGGACTCCTTCCCCATGAATACCTGCTGGATGGCACCTTCCTTGGAGGCAGGGCCGTGCCTCCTGTCATTGAGTCCCTCATTCATCAGATGGTTAGAGGGGGTTTTTGAGCCCGCTCCTTGCCAGCTTTGTAGTGGGATGTGGCAGCGGCTCCTTCCTGTACCCCAGTGCCTGGCACCGCGTCTGGTTTGGAGAGCTGTAGCTGCTGCTGTCCTCGGTGGCTGCCTCTGACTGTTCCCGGCGGCAGCGACGATGGCCAGCCTGCCCTAAGCCCTCGCTGTGCACGGCCTGCTGGCCCAGCGGCTCGGGTGCCTTCACATCCCCACATGCAGATGAGGAAACCGAGGCTGGAGCACTGGGTCCCGGCCGTCCGCAGGCTCTGCACTGTCCACACTGCCTGACGCTCATAAGGGACTCTCCAAACTCTGGCTGCGCATGGCTCTGGCTGCTTGCCCCTTTGAGGTCCCCTTAACCCCTAGCAATGAGCCTGGGAATAGGCTGCTTGAACAAAGAAATGAATGAATGAATGAATGAATGAACGCACAGATGCCTGTAGGTCTGAGCCCTGGGT